AAACAAACCTTAAACAATTCATTGGGGACTAATATCATTACAAAAATGTTTATCCCTTTGATCATCAACGTGGATACATTATAATACCCACATTTTTACATTAAAAGTTTGTTTTTTTTCTAACATGAGTGTATTTTTATCCCAGCGCCTTAATATGATTAATTAAGAAATTAATCACTGGACTATTTTTTCACCATACCACATACATACAATCCAAAAGAGCTTTATATAAATCACGTTGGTACAATACGTCTATGGTTTGGTTTGTAATTAAGCACAAAGCTTCACACTGGGCTATTTGTACTCTGCCCACTACGGGTATCGAAATCCGATTTCTAGCGTTGTAAGCCCGCAGACATACCGCTGTGCCACTAGGGGGGGGGGCAATACGTCTATGATTATATTTATATGGAAGGATTAAGTAATACGTGGTATGCTTCTTGTGTGTAAACTTTCAAAACGTTATTATGTGACTTCGATTAGTCAGATGTTCTTATAATTGTATAATATTTTCTAGAATTTGAAAAGAAAATATATAAATCTTGTTATTACAATTTATTAAACTTTGGCTTGTTTCCATAAGAACTGACGTATTATTCAGACTTACTCAGAAATAAAAATATGACAATTTTTGGAAATATACAAATAGTTAATCTTAAAGTTGTCAAATGACTGAGTTTTGAAACAACAATAGTGAAAAACTGTAGCACACTCACTTGTCTGAGCCAAACTGAGACAAGTAGAGGGAAACCATTTCCTTGCACAACTTAACTATGTAAAGCAAGTTAATTACTTCACTTTTACAGTTGAGAGTTGCAATTTTTGTGTAAATCCTGGTGTCACAACCCTAACGTTTGCACAACTGTATATGGTTATTATGTGTTATTCAAAACTATACCATACACATATCGGAATTGATAATAGAACAAACAAACCTCATAAAATATCGCCAGTTATTAAGAGCCAACGCTGTACTACACTATCTTAATTACAACAGCAATTATTGTTTTTAATAGGGCACATTATGTTTATATTTGGTAATTCTAAGTTACATTACTACATTTTATTATTTTCAAAAATATCCAAAATACTGATTAACAACCAAATTCTTTGCAAATGGCAATTTTTAAATATAGCATTACTCATTTTTTCATCATTTGTACAAAATTATCTTCAAAATCAAAGAACTTTCAAGAATTTCAATTTACCGTCTATATGAAGATATAGAAAATTTTTCTTACATTGTTTTGTTTATATTCGTGGTGTGGCATTTTCAGTTAACGGTTGTAAGGTCCTATATATAACAGGACGTTTGGCAAAGTAATACTGAGTTTTGGTAAAGCTAATTCAATGTGTGTTAACAAATAATCGGACTGGACACGATGTACAACACAGAGTGAAGCAATCTTTATCTATGCAACAACAACAACAAAAAAAAACAGTGTATGTTACTTACTTTATGGATAATAGACAACCGTCTTTACTGGAGTTGTGGATTGATCAGAATGGCTATACTCTCTCAAGACTTATTTGAAAAGCTGATCGATTTACTCAAGATGATGGTCCAAACTGATTAAATCTTACGTGGCTTAGTTTAATCGGTAACACCAGACTTACCCAGAACTGTCATTTCTATTAATGTTATATCCAAGTAATTCCAAAGAACAAGGTAACTAGAACGAAACCAACTTAATGACTTTCAAGGGCTTCTTGACCACGTGTCATGTGAAAACTGCAAGTAAACAAAGAATTTTGTAAAAATTCTACATTAAAATAAGAAGGCATAAAATTCATATTATGCATGCATACCACAACAGTAAACATTGCAGAAGCATCACACATGTTTAAATTCTAATAGGAGGACAATTCTTTTGTATCAATGCCGACTTTTTCTTTCGGTGGATTAGAGAAAAATTTGAAGGCTAACAACATTGAAATACAGGATTCGATTCCATGCCATAGACCGACTACAGATAGAAAAAAAAACAAATATTACAATGTTTTTACTTACTCTGTTTATTGCCTTTCCATTTAAACAAGCTTAATCAAAATATTTTCCTTAATGAAAGGTAGAACTTATTTGTTGCTCCTCTTCTACTAAGATAATTTTAATTATGTCTTACGATGTTATGAAAGAACTTGACATTGTTTAATATAGTTTTATTTGATTAACAAATTTAAGGTGTTTGGGAAAATGTCTGAAAATTACTATGTGTTAATTGAGAAACTTGTAGAATTTATGTACAGACAATTTAGAGATTCCTTTCAAATTTGTGTAGACAGAGTTGGTGTTAATTTATTACTTAGCTTGTTTCGATTTTACATTATTTTCCTTACATTTTTACGTAACTAAAGAAGGCCCAATTGTTATTGTAATTATATATTATAAATAAAGATCCACAATTCAGTGCATTATATCTCACAAACGATATGGCACAGAAATATGAAATTCGGCAGGGGTATTAAAGGTACCATTCAAATACAAATACCACAGTCGTTGTCATATATTACCACTAGGTGTGCCATTGCGGTTTCTTCTACATATTCCCATGAGTATAAAAGGGCCTGTCGATCGCTTTGCAGTTCATTAAACCAATATGAAATTGACAAGTATGCAGAGGGGTAAACTAATAAATGTTATTACATCAAAATATGCAATGCCAAGGCAGCTCTTGGGGATTATTATAAATAACACTGTAACGAGGCTTTCTGCAAATGTATAACATCCGCAGAAAGCCTCGTTCCAGTTTTACTGTACGTAACTCCATAAAAACATTAGAGAAGAGAGATTTCACTGTTATAAGCTATGTACAGACAACTCACTGACATCTACTGAAACTATAGTTGAGATCAGCCATGCCATAGTAGAAGAAACCAGCACAAGTGCAATGGATGCAGCAGTGCACGTTACGTTGCCCACTGTAATCTGATGTGCTGGTTTGCATTGCAAGGCTGGAAGTCGATTACCAATAACATGCCAATATCTTATGGACTGATGAAGCACATTTCACCCTTTCTGGAACAGTCAATGCATACAACTGCATTATCTGGTTAGAAACTATTCTACATGTGACATTTCTTACACACTTCCATGATGCTACGTGACAGTGTGGTGTGGTTTCACAGATGACTTTGTTATTGGATCTTACTTTGGAAGAACCATCAGCACATGGTCTGCAGATCTGCACAGTTAATTTTACCCATCACCATGCAATGCTCACAACATATGTGATTCCCATGCTGTAACAACAAAATGTAATAGACACTAGGGGTTTCATGGAAGAAAGTGACTCTCCACATAATGGTAACCAGGTGAAACATGTCTTCCAGTAGCACTTTCAGATCAGAATCACTTTCTGTCCCTTTCTTTGAGAATGGTCACCTTGTTCACTGGACCTAACATTAGCAAATATCTGGTTGTGGGAGTACTTGAAGTCATGCATGTACCATGAGAAGCCTCACGTAATGCAAGAAGAATAACCTTAGAACGGTAAGTTGTAAAAGCTGAAGTACGCGAGAAAAAAAACACTTTCGTTATCATTATGTGGACTAGACTCTGAATTGTTTTTTAACCAAATAATCTAAAATAACCTAACATTAGAAACCCTTACAACAATGGTTTTCGTTTATTTTCTTCAATTCAATCTCCCAAAAATGACTCTTTTCAATAATGCGTTTCTTCTTTCCTTAGATTTTCTTTTCTAAATTTCTTCAATTTACCTATATCCGACTGAAGAATCCACTTCGTCGATTTGTTTAAACTTTATAACAATGTTTGACACTTAATGTGATAAATGATAACAATGGATAAAAACGTCTGGTGCATGAAACTTAGATTGTTGTTGCATTATGTAGTGACGACATATGACTATTTTGTTTATTTACATATGCTAGAGTTCCATCAAGTGTGGCTTATTATTTATATTCATTCATGTAATACCTCCTAATACGAATATTTGTATATTCGTATTAAAGTCTGTAAAATCTATATATTGTTACGCCTTCGTCTGTTAATTAATTTTCCGTAACTTCGTTCCGACGAAACTTTAGCGACACAAGTCCTTTCTTAAATAAAACTGGTTTATTCTTTCCTAATAC